TGATTCTTCCCTCTTAAAGTATTTATCTGAATTTTGATTTTAACAGGAGCCCACAGCAGAAAGACTTTGAACTTTTAAAGAGATTTTGTATGTTTAAAGAGATTTGATATTTTTAAGAGAGACTTAACATCTAATGTGTTTGAATTTGTAAGGACTGTGGTAATTTAAAGTTTTTTATATTTTATATTGCAATATCAATATTAATATGCCACCTTAGGGATAAATAAGAAAGGAATGGTTCTAATTGAAAAGTGATGTGTTTGTGTGTCAAGTTGACAAGGGGTCAGTTGTATTGGCTAGTTTTATGTCATTATGTCTTGACACGAGCTAGTCATTAGAGAGGAGGGATCCTCAAATTACAAAATTCCTCCATAAGATTAGACTGTGAGGAAGCCTATAGAGCATTCATAATTAGTGATTGATAGGGGAAGGCCCAGTGCATTGTGGGTGGTGCCTTCCCCTGGGCTGGTGGTTCTGGGTTCTGTAAGAAAGCAGGCTAAGCAAGCCATGAGGGGCAAGCCAGTAAGCAACACCCCATGGCCTTTGCATCAGCTTCTGCCTCCAGATTCCTGACTTGCTTGAGTTTCTGCACCGACTTCCTTTTATGATGAACTGTGATCTAGAAGTACATACTGAATAAACACCCTGCCCCCCCGAAAAGAAGAAACATAAAAATAAGGAAGAATACAGAGTTGGAAAGGGTATAGGAGTTTGGGGTGGATCTGGAAAGAGGGGATGAATATAATAAAAATGCATTGTAAGCATGAATGAAATTCTCATAAAATTAATAGATGTATTAAAAATGCAAAATACATGCTTACATTTTAGGAGAGATGTTTGTTATTTTAAATAATTTCTAATTAATATTTTAAGTATAATGGTAGTAACAAGGTAGTTTTTTTTTTCAAAGTGTTAAAAATGGCATGATGGACATAGACTTTATTATGTATCTGCAAGTTTGGGGTTTTGTTTTTGTTGTCTCACTATGTAGCCTAGGCTGGCCTTAAACTCACAATCCTACTGTCTCAGCTTCTTAAGTGCTAGGATTACAGATATGCAGTACTGCAATATGTCTGTTTTTATAGTTAGTCAGCATTGTATCCACATATCTGCATTCTAATGGTCTTCATTAAGCAGAATCCTAGGTTGAGAGGAAAGTGTACCACTGAAGCTGTATGTGAGAGGATAGGATAGTATCATCTCCCTCTCACCCTCACCTTCTTGCTGAGGGCCCTTTGAGGGATCTTTAAGCCAAACATTTTGAGACAGTAACACAGCTCCCTCAGAAGTTCAGTTAGCTCTGTGGCACTGGACAGTTGTTAGTGAACATCTTGACTGGGTCTCCATCCAAAACCAGTGATGTGACAGGCTTATGGTTATACACTATAGGAAGTGTCAAGTTAATTCACATTACTATATCTAGGCAAATTTATACAGTGTCTTTCTGTAAACCTGGAGTTAATAAAATAACTACATAATTAGAATTTTTTTATATATCAGTTGCATGATGACCATTCAGTTATGTGGCTGACATTAATACACACTATAGCTTCACTGGTCCTTTATTAAATGCTGCTTCTAAAGTTTATTTATCTATCCATTCCATCGAAAAGGCCAGCTATTCTACTCTGGGACATGGCAAACTAGAGGTACAAACCAAAGGCCTCAGGAGGCTTTCGTGCTCCTTGTCCTTTAGAAGAAACAGATTTTTTTTATTCTTGCACAAATTCTTATCTGAATACTCATATTATCCAAGAGACCAGGTGGTACAAATATTACAGTCAATGCAGATAGTACTAAGAATTATCTCCTACTAGGATTGAAGTTCATAGCTGTTCTTTAGCTCAAGACACTGTTAAATTTGAATACCAAGAAGGTTGTTTCAGAACTAGGGTATGTGCTCTACATTCCCATTCACACCACTAATATTTGTTGAATACTTGTCAAATCTAAAGGAAACTCTATTTCCTCAAATCCTGGTGGTTAGACAAAAGCCAACATTCCTCAGGAACTTATGAAGCTGGTTTGGTTCCCCTCTACCATAAGGAACCATTTCCCTTATCATTGGCAGGAGGGACAAATGTTTATCTATAGTGCCTATTAGCATACCAAAGCACATGCTGGCTGTCTTAGTGTTTTATTGCTGTGAAGAAAAACTGTGACCACAGCAACTCTTATGAAAGAAAGCATTTAGATGGGGCTTGCTTACTGTTTCAAGAGTTAGTCCATTATCATCATGGCAGGGAGCATGGCAGCATTCAGGCAGAAATGGTGCTGGAGAAGTAGCTTAGAGTTCTACATCTGGATCAGCAATCAGCAGGAAGAGAGAGCCACTAGGCGTGGCTTTTGAAAACTCAGAACCCACTCCCAGTGATACATTACCTCTTACAAGATACACTTAGTCCAACAAGGCCACACCTCCTAATCCTTCTCATGTAGTGCCTCTCCCTGATGACTAAGCCTATGGGGACATCTTTATTCAAACCATCACACTGGCCTCCAGGCTATCTCAGTATCACAAGTACCCGTTATGCATTTCAAAGTCCATGCTAGTATCCTCGCCTTTCTCATCTCCCCTGCCCTAAACTCCCTCCAGCTCAGGAGCTTCCCTACCCCAGCTACTCATTTTTCTTATAGCCCTAGTATTTTGGCTATGCCCTCTGTTGGGTTCAGTCTCTCACTCTTTGTCTCCCTTTTGCTTTTTCTCTCTAACCTTCTCTCTGTGTCTCCCTCCTCCCCCTCTCAGTGCCCTCCTCCCTCCCCACCTGCTCTGTTCCTGCTTCGTTCATGGCCAGGTCCAGTCTGCTGGCCATGTTCAGTCTACTTCTTTCTATCTCTGCTCTGGACTCTTCTAGATGCCTCTGACTTTTCTCTCTCATATCTACAATAAAAATCCTTCCCCTAGCCGGGCGGTGGTGGCGCACGCCTTTAATCCCAGCACTCGGGAGGCAGAGCCAGGCGGATCTCTGTGAGTTCGAGGCCAGCCTGGTCTCCAAAGCGAGTTCCAGGAAAGGCGCAAAGCTACACAGAGAAACCCTGTCTCGAAAAAAAACCAAAAAAAAAAAAAAAAAATCCTTCCCCTAAACCATATCATGAACTAGTCCTGTCTCCAGTTTATGCAGTACTGACTTTTATAGAGTAATTGCTTGGGATGGATCAGAGAACATAACGGGCAGAACACTTTACTTTTTAAGGATATTTCCATTCCACAGAGTTAGATGATAAATAGAAACAAGTCATAAATTTACTGGAAACACTTTAGAAAATATCAGTGTAAAGGGGGACCAAGGATAGGAAGTTGAAAAGGAATACTAGGAAACCTTGTTATAGCAAAAGCTTGTGCTGAAAAAGTAAAAGATTAGTACCATTAAGGAGAGGCCTCCTGCTGTGTTTGGAACTATGGGAAGGGTGCCTTGAGGGTACGACTGGTGCCCCCAATACTTTCTCAGCTAAACTTCCAATTCCTGAAAGGATAAGGCAGTAGCTCTCAACCTTCCTAATGCTGCCACCCTTTAATACAGTTCATGTTGTGGTGACCCCCAACCATAAAATTGTTTTTATTGCTACTTTGTAACTGTAATTTTGCTACTGTTATGAATCGTAATGTAAATATCTGTGTTTTCCATGATCTTAGGTAACTCCTATGAAAAGGTCATTTGTGACCCACTGGGTTGAAAACTGCTGCCCTAGGGTTTTTGTTGTTGTTTTCTCCTGGAAAGCAGTTGTTACAATTTACAAAACCTGCAGCTAATGTAGTCAAAAGAGATAAGGGTTCATCCCAAATTGGTATTAGAATTAGTAGGAATTTAGTAGTGTAAGCTGTACTATGCTGTCTTTGAAGGTATGAGAGACAGGTTGTCCTGGGTTCTTCCTCCATGATCAGAGAGCTACTGAGGCCAGGCAACATGTGGCAGTGTTGGAGTTGCTGCAAGAAGTCCCTAAGAGGCCATTGAATGAAGCTATATAAGAAGCCTAGGTTACAGTAGGAACACTGAGATGTAGGAGATGCTAGAGGGACTGAGCCTTCTAAGCTCCCTGAAACTAAAGCATGAGTTAAAGGTCATGGAGCTACAGGGTGATGGTTGTTCTGCTGGGTTTGGGTCATGTTTTATTCCTCTCTTTTGGAAGGAATTGTGTATTCTGTACCATTGTATGTTAGACGTGTGTAATTTGCCTTTTGATTTTACAGAGGTCACAGTTAAGAAATTGCCTTGAGTATCAAAAGAGACTTTGAACCTTTTAATGCTTGTTTGTTTTTTTTCAAGACTGGTTTTTCAATGTTGTCCTGGCTGTCCTAGAACTCCCCTGTAGACCAGGCTGGCCTCGAACCCAAGATCTGCCTGCTTCTGCCCCCTCAGTGCTGAGATTAAAGGTGTATGCACTACTTGGCTTTGACTTTGGACTTTAACATGGTGTTGTTACTGTAAAAGACTACCAGACTTTTGCAGTTGAACTAAGTACATTTTGCATTATGATAATGGCTATGAGCCTGAGGGGCTGCAAGAGAGTGGAATAGTTTTGAATGAGAAGTATCCTGGTAGTCTCTCTGTAGTCTCTGAGCCATCTGCTCCATTTGCCTTGTGCCATTATAGACTCTCTTTCTGCAACTATAAGACAAAATAAACTCTCAAAAAGTTGTTTTTAGTTATGGTTTTTATCACAGTGATGAAAAATAACTAATATGTAGCTGTATCCCTGGTCCCTAGAGTATGATTTTTTTTTTTTTTTTTTTTTGGTTTTTCGAGACAGGGTTTCTCTGTGTAGCTTTGCGCCTTTCCTGGAACTCACTTGGTAGCCCAGGCTGGCCTCGAACTCACAGCGATCCGCCTGGCTCTGCCTCCCGAGTGCTGGGATTAAAGGCGTGCGCCACCACCCGCCCGGCCCTAGAGTATGATTTTTATCTTGAGTGATATAGGTGGTCTAAAGTTTATGTATTTCCCCATGCCATTTCATGTTAGGCCTCTTTACTATTGTTTTTAACTGCTTTCTTTCTTTTTCAGCTACAAGGCTTTGGCCAACCAAGTGTTTTCCATGCTGCTATTGTCATCTTCTTTGAATTCTTTGCATGGGGCCTGTTGACAACTCCAATGTTGACTGTAAGTATCATTGAACTTTGTTTTTCATCTTTAGACATGCTGTATATGAAATTCAAGGCATTGTTGAAATTGTATCTTTATTCAGATGTTAGTGGCCTTTGATTTAAGGACCCAATAAATAGAAGATTGATAAGTACTTCATAATGATGAATATAAGAATGATCATGTGCCTGGTTTTGATAACTTTTCTACAGCAGTTTCTTTAAACTAAGTATTAAATTTCTTTATTTTTTTAATTTCTTATTTCTTTTTTAAAATTTATGTATATGACTCTTGCCTGCATGTATATCTGTGATGGTTTGAAAGAAAATGCCCCCCAAAGGGAATGGCACTATTAAGAGGTGTGGCCTTGTTGGAGTAGATGTGGTATTGTTGGAGGAAGTGTGTCATTGTGGAGGTAGGCTTTGAGGTCTCATATATGCTCAGGGTACTCCCCAGCATCTTAGACCACTTCCTGTTGCCTGCAAGATGTAGGTCTCTTAGCTACTTCTCTAGCACCATGTCTACCTGCATGCTGCTGTGTCCCACCATGATGATAATGGACTGAAACTCTGAACTGTAAGCAAGCCACCCTAATTAAATGTTTTCCTTTATAAGAGTTGCTGTGGTCATGGTGTCTTTTCACAAAATTAGAGACTCTAACTAAAACAATATCTATATACTTCTTGCTTGCTTACTTTTGGAGATATGCCTACTGTGAGAGACATCAAATCTTCTGAAACTGGTGTTACAGATGGTTGTTAACTGACACGTGGGTACTTAGAATTGAACCTGCGTTCTCTGAAGTGATGGTACAGTTTTTAAGAATTATAACAGTTAAGGTACGTTTTAAATGCCTTTGAAATTAAGTTTCAGTTGTCTTTGCTTGTTTTTAAAAATAGGCCAGGAGCAGTGACACATGCTTTTATTCCCAGCATTGGGGAGGCAGAGACAGGCGGGCTCTGAGTTTGAGGCTAGCCTAGTCTAGAGTGAGTTCCAGAACAACCAGGACTGCAAAGAGAAATACTGTCTCAAAAAAACTGAAAACAACCAAAAAAAATAAAAATAAAAACGTAATACTTGTCTCTTCTCAGTCATTATTTTGCCATACCAGAAAGTTCCTTTTCATATGTGCAATTTTTGTTTCAGTTAAATCTTGAAAATACAGAGGTTTACAGGGTGGCCATTAACCACTTAGCTTATAGAAGACTTTATACATTGCTGAGTATAAACATCATCAACAACCCTTAATTTTTAATGTTATTTATTTCTTTTGTACTTTGAACATCTTGACTATGATATAGCTCATCAATTTAGGCTTCCATTTCTTTTTCTAGGTTTGAGACATGTTCAGATGTGTTTTCATGAAATAAATTATCTTTACCTAAATACATGGCCCTCAGTTTCTTCTTCTGCCCCACTGATTTCTCAGGTTTGGTCTCTTGAATATATCTCAGACTTAGAAGTTTTGATCATACTTCTTGACTTTTTTTTTGTACATATGTCTCAGCCTTGTTCTCCATCCTTGAAATTTGTTTTTCTGCTTGATCTTGTCTGCTTATGATGTTTTCCACCCTCCTTTTTTTTTTTTTTTTGTTTTACTTAAGCAATTGATTTTTTTTTCATTTCCAGAATTTGTGTTTAATTCCCTTTCCGAGTCTGAACTTCCTTGCTGAGTTTCTCCTTCCTGAACTCCTTTCTTAACTTCCTTGCTGAATTATGTTGGTAATATTCTTGAGTAGGTCATCCTGAATTGAATCCCTTACTTCATTCATCTGCTTGAGTCTTCTCCATGATCACTGATCATTTGAAAAGTAGGAATCTGAAATCTTTTTATTTGGCGTTTTTAACTATCTCCCTGTCTTTTGTTTCCAGTATTGAGGAGTTGTGAACCTGTAGAGGGTTGGTTTCTTTGTTGTAATTTGCACATCTGTTGGGATGGAGGTGTCCTTCAGTTTTATCTCTCCCTCCTCCTTTCTCCACTCTTGTTGTTGTTTGTTTGTTTTGTTTTGCTTACATGAATCCTCCTGGTGTCCTGTCTTCATTTGGATATTTGTTTCCTACTGCTATTTCAGGGAGAAGCTGACTGCAATAGCTTACACAACAATTTGACAACAGCTCTGGTGTTAACTTGTATTAGCAAACATCTGTGCCCTTCATTTGTGTCCCTTTAAAGGTTGAGAGGCAGCTGTACTTGGGTATTGGTTGATGAAACCATGGTTTATAGGTTTCTTTTCATTTGTTTGGTTTTTTGTTTGTTTGTTTGTTTGTTTGCTGTTTTTTCATAGCTGCTGGGAAGGACAGAATAAAGTAAGACAGTAGAAAAATTTATGGGGCTAGAGGTGTGAGAATTAGTACACAAACAGATGTTAAAACTTTACCTAACAAGATAAAAGTTAAAATACAATGATGAACAAAGTATAAAAGTGTAAATACATTGAAATAAGGGAGAAAATTAAATAAAAATGAGCAATAAAATAGTATCATGATCTCTGCCAATGATTCTTCCTATTTGAGAAGATACTGTTTGTCTCTGGGGAAAGGACTGGTGGTCTCTGTAATTCAAACAAGTTAAATTAGTAGAGTTTCTATAGTAAGTCCACTTTCTGACAGAATTCCCCAGTATGTGCTCACCCCTCATAACCCCCATGTGCAAATTACAACCTTCTCTCTAGTGTTTTGGGAATTAGTATATGTGGAGGACTTTCTGTGACTAAGACTCTGAGGAGGGGTCTGAGGCCTTTTCTCCAGCTTCTTATATTTTCCTTTTTCCTCCTACCTCCTACCCTTTTCCTTCTATCACACTCAAGTTTTATGGGACACTTTCCAGAATCCCATGTAGCTTCCCTATGCAAATGAGCCCAGGGAGAAGTGGACATAGAGGATCTCTTAGCTGCAGACTCCTATACCACATTTACATTACTCTCTCCAGTTGGCTGTGTCCCACTGCCTCCCTCATATATCTTATCTAGCCTTTTAAATTTCCCTCTAATGTACAAAGCAGATAATTTTTGGGGTGGTGGAATGTTCCTGGCAGACTCTGAAACAGCCAGCTGAGAAGCTGCTCTACAGCCTCTTGAGTTTCTGAGCAGTTATGCTGCTTGTATAAATTTGCTTAAAATGAATATGTAAGTGTGAGGAGTACCCAGTTGCTAATATAATTCTGTTGTAATGTTATTTAAGAAATGTAGCTAAGTGAGTGAGTGTGTTAATTTTTCTTCTGTGGGTTCTTCACTTTTGGTTAACTTGCCTGAATGTGTTCTCTTGGTTCCTGACTTTCTCCCCTACTGTTCACCCTGCAGTGTGTTATCACTGTTCTGATTTTTGATTAAGGAGATTGACTTCCTCTTTAAGAAAAACATTTTGCATTGGCATATGCCATTTATTTCTGTCCTTTTTGATTGCTTTTTTTAAGTGATAATTTGTGATTCTTTGATAAGGAAGGAACAAAATTAGGGTTTATTTAGTCACAGCTAGTACTCATTTATCTTCTTTTATGTTTGTATGTCATTCTGTTTATTCCTTGGCATCTTGAACCATCACCCACAGTGGTTTAACTATTAAGATGATAGCATATGTTTTTCGTTTTTTAATCTTAATGTAGCAAGCGGACAGCACTCTTTAATTTTTAATGAGGCAAAAATAGAAGAATCTAAAAAAACAGTGTTGGGATCATGATTTGGAAACTTAGAATACTATATACGTATTAATATTTTGTCCAGTTTAACTTCTTGGTCCACAGTCTTTGAGATATGTTACTTATCTTAGGTAGCCATGGCTTAGCTTACTGTTTTAATTCATTTATTTGATAATATAAATAAAGTTTGCATCACTAATGTCTTGTAGCAGTTTTATGAAATTGCTTCATGTGGGCCTACCTTCTAGTACTACTAGTAGTATTAGCACATCAAAAAGACCTGTCCCTCATTTACATGCTCTTTGAGGGTCTAATCTTAATGTAATATGAATAATGTGATTAAACTAATACCTAGGGTACATTTAAATCAACTGCTTAATTGAATAAACTATATTTAATAGTCTTAGAAACTAGAATTTCATTTCTTTTAATTTATAGAATTTATTTTTCAAGCTGACTTTGAAACCTCAGTAGACACTTAAGCATTGAGTATTTCCTACTCATGTATCTTTTTCATGTGGTGGTCTGAAAAACCCAGACTATGCTTTGAACACTTTCTTGTGACATTCACTTCTCTTATCCTTTATTCTTAACTGACTCTCAAGATAATGTGCCCATTCATTCCTTCATTTGACTAACATACATTTTTCTCTTGTCTATCACTTGATCTTTGACTAGCTTTCTTGTCTCTTTAATAAGTGTGTCTTTCCAGGATTTACAATGGCTGGAATGAGGTACAACTGACTACTAGACCTTTTGGTCACATTAAATAGTCTCTTTGTTGGATAATTTACTCTTCATGTAGTGGGGGAAAAAAAACCCAGTAAAGTCAATGTTGTAACTAGAGTCACATGTATACTATCTTGATTTCTAGAATCATGAGATGCCACAGACTGACTTGTTAGCTTTAGTAGATGTACTTGTTGGATTTTGTAGGGGTTTTTTTTTCTATTTTTCTTTCTTTCTTTCTTTCTTTCTTTCTTTTTTTTTTTTTTTTTTAAATAAAATTTCCAGAATGAGCCTCCTATCCAGGACCCTGCAAGCCTCACAGCGGGGAGATTATCCTAGAGAGGTGAAGAATGAAACTCCAGTTAGTACCATCTTTGCAGGCACTGGGTCAAAATTTCCAGTCTGACTTTGGGGTTTGTTTTTCTTACCCATTTAAGCATAGTAAAGCTTTGGAAAAAGGTTTCTGCGTGAGAGTTATCACAACAAAGCTTTAGACATGACTACAATGAAACTCCCTAGCAAAGTAGCAAAGCACTGTGACCTTTACGATAAGAATGGGTTATATTGGCTGATAAACAGAATTTAGGGATAGGGCCTAGAAAGGAAGTATTTGTAATAACCATAAGAATAGATTCTGTTGGGAGGATGCAAAGTA